AATCAATTTTTGAATAAATTGAATATTCTAAGAGGATGATACAAGAGAGATTTGTTTTATTATATTTCTGTATTCATTTCTGTATATATATATATATATATATATTTCGTTGAATTTTGAAAATATTTTCGATTTTCGGCGAATCCGATTTCAATTTTCAGTTAAGGAATCCGTATCGGATTATCTGTGTAAAAACGATAAGATCATGGATTCCGCAAAGGAAAAGTGGAAAAGGAAAGGACGTTTCTAGAAATCCGATCCTTTTTTGGATCATCCCGAGATCCATCCGTGGGACCGACGGGAAAGAATTTCGCCGTCAGCAATTCCTCAGCGTAGTTCCGCGCGCTGGCGGGAAGCAATCGTCTCGAAAAACGGACGGACAAATTAAATTTTTCTCGCGGGGAAAAGCATCCGCGCGATTCTTATCGTTTCTTCAGCTCGGAGAGAACTCCATCATATTATACTTGCTATTAAAAGTAGTTCATTGCTATCTGCGATGCGGTCGGCCATCGAAACAGTTTCGCGGTCCCGCTCGCCGCAAATCTCTTGCGGGAAACTTCGAAATCTCGATATAACTTTATGGAGACGACACCCCAGTCTTCGTAACGAGGCACGTTTCCGAACAGTGAATTTCGCGTTCGAGGACCATCCATGCTAAAACTGAATCCTAATTTCATTTTACTGTGTGCGAATCGAAAAGTCGTTTTATTGTATCTTTGTTAGAAAGAAACAAATTTTCTTTTGACATTATGCAATACATTATCGCGTAATATCGATCATTAATTTGTGAACATGGAGAGGGAAATTAGATTTTAAATGTAATAAATATGATAATGCGCAAACGTAATGTAACATGATAAATGACATAATGACATTAAAGATATAAAAATAGTAGCAATAATTTATATATTATGTTTATTTTACAAATAATCCGATTGAAACCGATTTGTTGTATGTTCTGTTCCAACGCATTTAGTTTCGTAGTTGTATCAGATAGGACAATAAAAAAATCTTTTTTTTTTAATTTACTTTATTTAATTTCGAAAATTCGACGCTGCAACAGAACTTAATCTGAGATTCCATTACAAAGCATGAGCATTTTCATTACGTACGTTAACGACGCGAGATTACAGAGCGCTCCAATTCCGTGCAGGAATCGCTTTTCGTCTCGTCGGACCGTTTGATATTCAATTACGTATCGAAAATTCCGAGTATGTGCAGGTCGGGTCATAGGTATCGAATATCTGGCCACGCGCGGTGTAATCTCGCGGCGCGGCCCGATCTTGAGGAATGGCGGACGGAATGGTCGAGGAGACGTTCGATAAACCGCAACAGAAACTCCTTCGTAGCCGCGAATCGCTCTGAAAATCATGTCGCTCGTGTAAGCTCGTTGAAAGTGGAGTGTTTCATATGCGATATATTCCGTTAAGCAGAATGCTGCTCCGATTCGATTAAAGGTGAATCCATGTGCTTTAAGAAAAATACGGTAATGGCATACGGTTATCTGTTTTAAAAATATTAAGGCGCCAATAAAAGAAAGAAGAGATTGAGACAATCATAAATATTAATTTCTCCTTTTATTTAAAAATATTAACAGCGCCAAATCTATTTTTCATATATATATATATATATATATATATATATATAATATATATATATATATATATAGTATATATATATATATATATACTATATTATTATTATAT